AACAAAACACAAGTTTTAAATAATGTTTTAAAGGTTTCATTTGAAATAAAGGAACAAAATCTTAGATAATATAAAACTTTGAATTATAGCATTATTGATAATAATAATAATAACTTCATTAAAATACATTGAAAGTAAAGTGGTTTAATTAAAATTTTGAATCTGACTCAGTAACATGTTCAGAAAGGGTTTTAAATGGCATCATCATTATAGGGTTAAGTGTAGTTTAACATAACCAAACTCTGTCTTCAAATGTAATTCACACCAAAATAAACTTCAAAGAAGTGATTAAAATGATTGTGGTGAAATAAAATACAGTTTTTATTATTGTAAAGTACTCAGTTAAAAATAAACATTGACTAAAATAAATGAAAGGAAATGTATAAAGTATATTGAAACACAGTGTAATTTGGTCAGCCTTATTATGCTTATTCTCCAGTGTTGGTTCTGATAAAGCAGAGTAAACAATTGTTATGCTACCATGCTTAGCATGCTACCATTTTTGTTGAACCTGTACAAAAACTTTGATTCTGATAAAGCAGAGTAAATAGTAGGTACATTACCATGCTACTTTCCATGTTGAATCTGTACAACACCTTTGGTTCTGATAAAGCAGAGTAAATAGTAGGTACATTACCATGCTACTATCCTTGTTGAATCTGTACAACACCTTTGGTTCTGATAAAGCAGAGTAAATAGTGGGTACATTACCATGCTACTTTCCATGTTGAATCTGTACAACACCTTTGGTTCTGATAAAGCAGAGTATACAGTAGGAACATTATCTTGCTGTTATTTTTATTCAACTTGGTACAGGTACACCACCGATTTTCCGGCACCCTTGGTTCCAGACCCTTGCCGGATTATCCATTTTGCCAGACCAACAGAGGTCACGTAATGATGATTCAACAATACACCTCTTATCCACTAATTATACCCCTCCTGTGTCTCTAAAGCACCATGGACTGCTAGAAACATAAATAAAAGAAATATTAAATCTGAATTAAATGATTAATGAAATACCACATCTGTCACTTTGACCTTGCTTAGAAGCCATAGCTAGGGTTAAATGTAAGCAAAATATGATAAGAATTGCACAAAACTCGAGGGATCACCACCACCAACTGCAGATGTAAACAATTAACTCTTATTTTTTTTGGGATGGGGGCACATGATGCCATCTTTAAATTCTCTCTATTGACATAAATAAAAAGTTTAAATAAACAAGTTTCTTGAAATATTTTTTCAGAAAAATTTTTATTTTCAAGTATGTTATATTTTGAATTTTCATACACTATTATCAACATTCTGTGTTGTAAAAACATTGAAGAAAAATCGAAACTAAATACTTGTATCTTGTTAAACTACATATTCTTAGAACAATTCAAGCAATTTGATCTACTAGTTTAATATCTATAAGAAAATTTTCACGAGAGTGACATACCTACTTAAAATGTAAGTAGCCCGTCTCGAAAGAGCGTGTGCCACATACAATGCCATCTGTGGCCGCCCAGTGAACTAGTCTGGCAATTGCAGGAATTTCAAGTGCACTCTCGTAATTTTGTTCAGATTAAAGGAGGTGCCTGACCATTCAAAAGCATCAATTACTTTACAGACTATCATGTTTCTGGGAGATGATCACTGTCACACCTCATTGCTTTTGTATTTTGTTTCTTAGGAGCATTATTTATCACGTGTCATGATGTTTTGGAGTTTGTAGAGGTATTCTTTTTGCTTCAATGCCATACAGGTCTCTGTACAAAGGTGGGACAGAAATTATCACATATGCCATTTTTGTCGTCTGAATATGTTTTTATTGCAAAAACATCCCATCACAAACTCTTCATTATATTACTTTACTATTAGATACTATTTGTGAGGGTTATTAACAAAGAAGCACAGGTCATTATATTACTGTGACGAGATAAACGGAATTGTAGTACTACCATATACAATTTGCTACTTGCAATTAAACATTATGTTGAATACATTTCTGGTTCTCATGATTATGAACACAAAAATATAAAAAATGATATCAGTTGAATGAAAATAATAATTTTGTTTTCAGTTATTCATTTTATTGAACTGAAAGACTCTTCATTCAGCACATATCAACTTGTCATAACAGTTAAAACTGTTAACTTAATACAATGGCATTGATAAAACTTCCATGTTTTTATGTAAATATTGATGACTGCAATCACTCTCACAAATGGATTTCCAGAGAGAGATTTGTAGTTCTTTTAAATATCTTACAAACATGAGAGACTGACTTTATTGTTCATATGATGTTCATCAGTGTATAATGAAGTTTAACATCAAAGTAAATAGGTGAATTTATTATACCTGGAAAATTATTATTTCCCATCCTAATTGAAATATGTGTGCTGATATTCTATAGTGCTAGGAAAATCAACCAACTGCAATGTAACTATAGAATTATTGTGAAATTAGCAGTCGGGGGCCTAATCCTAAGATTTGGTAATATTGACAGCTTCCTTTACTCCAAAGTCTCCTTCAATGCATTTTTATTAAGTAATACACTGTGAAGCTGATATGTTTACACAAGCTACACCTGAAACTGAGGTAAGACATCACATAACATCTTTCAGTGCTGGTCCTACAGGAATCTGGAATGTAGAGAAAGGATTGAACTATAACACTGCAGGTTATAATGATGTTTAAAGATCTACATAACACGTATGCCTTATTTACCGATATAGTTTGTTTAACAAAATATAAAAACTTTGATAACAGTGTACAAAGTAATTGTCTTTTTGTCATACAAATTGTAGAATGTGGCAAACTGCAAACATCTTCAAAGAAGTTCTCACATGTTTTAATGTGTGTTTTGAAAGTACTATACAGTGGCTTTCATGATTTTCTTTTCTGCATTTTCTTCAGTAATGTCATTTAACTTGATTTCTGAAATCATTCCAATTTTATTTGATAGAATTTCAATACACCAAGACAGTACATTAGCTTAAACTTAAATGGAACCATTTACATTCAATACAAAATATGTATAAATTATATTAGCAGAATTTCTGTCTTTTCTTACAAAAACATGCTGAGCTGTAACTCAAAATTAATGATTCTGTTTCTCTTAGAAAAGTGCTACTATAAATGGTTGCCTACACTTTACACTGGCCTTGATGGCTTTAAAAACTAGTAAATGTCTTGTTTTACAAATAACTTTTAATCAAGTTTTATTTTTTCATTTTTTTTCTAACAATGCAATAAAACAGACATTTAATAATGGCTGGAGATGGCTTAAATGGGTAATGAAGAAAAACTTTAATATAAGTTTAACAT